GAAGGTAGGGAAAATAGCTGGCAGAGGCAGCTTCATGGTTTATATCTCCTGAGCATGCGGTTTAGGCAGGGGTGATGGGTACCAGCCACGTGTTTGGAGCCTGCAGACATAGTTGGAGACTGTGAGGAGCAGGGTGTTAAGCTCTGAAATGGGATGAGAGCCTTCAAACTGACTTTTTTGGGGATGGGGAAGAACTGTCTTTGTAGGATTGCAGTACAAATGCTGGCAAATCAGCTGTTTAACCACGGAAGCCACCGTGACAGCTCAGACCTGCTCCCAAGAAGGAGCTGCTGTCTGAATGGAAAAGATGCGTTTTAGCTCAGTGCACAAAAGGTGAACACGTGTTTGTAATCTGCTGATTTTAAGGGCTCGCAGGGGGAAAAGAAAGGGCTGGGGAGGGTGGGGGGAGGAATCCTGACCTGTGCTCACAGCCACCGCGTTTCTCTCTCCAGCGCCTGGTGCGGATGAACATGCCCATCTCACCCGACGATTTAACCGTCCACTTCACGTCCACACTGATGGCCCTGATCCGCACTGCCCTGGAAATCAAGCTGGCCTCAGGTGAGTGGGAGGTGGTGTCTGTCAGCATGCCTGGGCTCATCCCCCAAGCTGTCTCTTGGCTTGGTGTCCCTCCAAAGCTCTGCCCCAGGAGGAACTTCTGTTTTCCTATTGCCTGCCTGTCATCTGCCAGTGCCCAGGGACACGGGAGCCTCGGGGACAAGCAACAGGGGGGTTCCTGAGCATCACTGCCTTTGGGGCATCCCTGTCGATGGGATATGGAGAGCTCTGGCCATCCCAGCTGGGAGCTCTCAGAAAAGAAGCCCTGTGCATGTGCTTGTTGCTGTATAACAGAAAGAGGAATTTGCACACCTCTCTTCCAAATCATTCCAGCATTAGGAATAAACAGCTCTTCCTCCCCAGTTGCTGTCTGCTGGGAGTGAAGCAGTACCGTGATCCCCATTCCACCTTGAGATAATATTTAATTATTTAAGTGTTTAATCAGGCATTTACTTGACTTCCCAATTAAACATTGTAATGTAATAAAATACATTGGCCTTTTCTCTGGGTCGCTAGGCTGTTTAATCAGGCTGGCTGGGGTCAGAATCAAGGCATGACCAGTCAAAGCACTTTTATACCTAATTTAAAAGAGAACAGGAGGTAACAATGCTCTTATGAACAAAGGGCAGGGTTAGGATGTTGTGCTTTTCCTAAGCAGTTTTAGGCCAACCATTCAAGCTGTCCGTATTAATTACCACCCTTGGACGTTGGTTGAATTTTGCCTTTAATGTTTTGAGCAAGCACTGCTGGAAAAAGGCAAAATTTTGCAGTCACTGGGACTTCCCTAGGGAGTACCACTCATTTTTAAGGATGCTTTTAGGGCTGCCTGGGATTTTAGGGGTCAGTGCCTTATTTTAGTGATAACATCTAGGTAAGGATACTGAGAGTTTGTATTACTTTAGGCTTCTGGTTATCTGTCAGCGATGGTAATTCAAACAGTTTCAGTTGAAAAAGGCTCCCCTGCCTTCTCTTTAGCCACGGGCTAGAAGGGAACCAGAGAAGAGAGCTCAGCTGATAGCACTGGATTCTTTCTGAGGTTGATATTTGCTGTGGGTTGTGAGTTTTTGACCTGTTTTGTTGTTATGAGCCTCGTTTGAATAGGTTTCATGTGCTACATTTAATTGAGTCTTCAGTGGGACTAACAGGCCCTTAATAAACCCTCCCTAATGAGTTTCTGTGTGGGAGTTCAAACTGCCGTGTAGCAGAGCACCCCGAGCCTCCTCCCATTACTTTTCTCTTAGAAAAATAATCTCTGTCATTCAGATGAGCTGCTTAATTGCCTGCCGTGCGCTGCGTTCATTTGGGAGCTGGCCTGGTGGCTTCCCTAGACTTTAATCACTTTCCACTTGTGAATTGAGCCCTCGCGTTGTCCATTTGAATAACGCTACCGGGTTTGGCTCTTTCTGCTTTTCCTCGTGGTGTAGCTGTGGTTTGATGCTGCTGCCGTCTGGTCGCCAAGGGCTTTGGGAAGAAGTATTGGTGGAGAGGGTTTGTAATCGGTCGCGGCGTTGCTCATAGCCCAGCTCCTCGGAGCAGGTCCCTTGCGGCAGGTGCCGCCGCTTTCCACTGGCACTGCCCGAACAAGCACTTAGGTAGGATGAGTCTGGAATTAAGTTCAAGCCCCAAGACACAGCGGAGGGGCAGTGGGTTAAAGCGCTGATGGTCCTGCTGAGCTCGCACGCTCTTGTCGTGGAGGAGGTCACCGATGCCCTTTGCCCCAGCCACTGCGGCCGGCGCTGGCTTGGTGCTCTCTTGAGCAGGGAAAATGCCTCCTCCTGGGCTTTCTGCACAACCAGTGGTCCCTGCTGACAGGATGAGGATTTTCTCTATTCTTGACGTGCCTCTTCCTCTCCCCTTTCTTTCTGCAGGGGGGGTGAAACAGCACCAGTGCGATGCTGAGCTGAGGAAGGAGATCTCACTGGTTTGGCCCAATCTGTCCCAGAAGACTCTGGATCTGCTGGTGCCCCCTCACAAACGTAAGTGCTTCGCAAGCAAAGCACCCAACCCATCCCAGCCACCTCTGAAGCCCCAAGCAGGTTTCTCCCTCCTTGCCTGCTCTGTCCCTGGCCCCATCTGGCTGCACGGTCAGCCAGAGGATGCAGCAAAGAAAGCAAGTGTTCAGCTTTGAGGTGTCCCCTCCCCACAGCCCACACCTCCGTGCTGTGGTCACACAAGGGACAGGGAAGCTGAGGGCACGTCTAGGCATGTATTTCATGATGCTATAGTAGTTTTCCTGTACTTAGGAAAAAAACCCACAACACCCGAGTGCCAAGAAGGGACCAGTGCCCTGTGTGGCGTCTCTCAGAGCTTTTTCACAGCTTTGTCTGCCTCCAGCCTGTGTCTTATGGGACAGGAGAGCATTTTTTACTATCTGAGCTCAAGAAAAATCTCGAAAAGAGAAGTTTGCTGAGAACTTACAGAATCAGAAGGAAGATATTTGGGGAATAAAAGCCTTTGTGTTACTTGATGATGTCCACAAGAAAATGGAAAGTTTGCCGTTATCTTGATTGGCCCAGACAAGGCCTCTGGATTCCTGATTAACGAGAAAGAGTGCAGAGCAATAAAGAAAAAACAAGGGAGCCGAGGATGTGCAAACCAGTGGGCAGTGACTGCTTAAGTCTTTTTCTCCCCCTCCTCTCTTGATGCCTATATTGCTGCTGATTTAACGCTTTGCTCCGCACTAAGTGCTCCGTTGGGGTGCAGGGAAGGGTTGGTAGAGTAGCTGTGAGGGTGAAAAGAGACATCTGGAAAAATGAAATACTCTTTAAATGTATATTAGCCTGTTATGCCCCGGTTGACTGTAATTCAAAGAAATAGGAGTAAAGCTCCTTTGTTGATAAAAAGCTGGCTGTGGGTCTGGTATTAATTTAGCAGTTCTTCTGTTGGCAATGCTTACAGTGCCACAGAGGATTATTCCTGCCTGGTTTTTTTTATGCGTGGTCTCTGTGAATGTTTGCCACGGAGAGCTAGAGACAGGGGCCACGCTCCTCAGCCGTGAACAGCAGCAACAGGCAGAGATCTGAAGAAGTCTGTTGTAACCTTTTCTTGGTCTTTTTTGCTTTCCCCCGCTCTTCTGTGTCTGTTTTGCCTCATTCTAATATCGCCTCTTTTTTTCATGCCCATTTGCTATTTCTTGTGCTCTTTGACTTACTCTTCTCCCGATCCTTTCCCATTCTTCACCTCTGCTGCATTTCACCACCATCTGACAGCCGATGAGATGACGGTGGGGAAGGTCTACGCAGCGCTGATGATATTTGACTTCTACAAGCAGAACAAGAACAGCAGGGAACAAGTCCACCAGCCGCCCGGGGGCCTGTGCCAGGTACTCAGCCAAAAACATGGTCTTCTTGGTCACAAAAAGAGAGTTAATCCTTTTTTTCCTCTTGGGCAGCCTCTTCTCCAGCATTAGGCAGGTCCCACAAGAGTCACTGGTACATTTCATCCAGAAAACCTGGATGCCTCTCCAGGTTTTCTCCTCTCTCTCTCTCAAAAAATAAAAAAAAAAAAATATGTTGCAGTTGTCTTTTCCAGTAGGTCTGGAAAGGTCTTTTCCAAAAAATGTCAAGTGAGGTTTGGGCAGTCTAAGTCCTGTTTTCAGACGTGACCTAGGGACTGGGGAACACCAAAATGTTTCTTTGGGACACCAAAGTATTTTTGACAGCTGATGGCAATTTGGCTGTATAAACGTTTAAGTTACTTTTGAAAATGGGAATAATTCAAAATCATGTCAGCTCTAATAGATTTGAAGATTTATTTTTTTTTACAATTGCTTGAAAATGCTCCCACACATCTACCTTGGGATTGAAACCCTGATGCTTACCAGTAGGACCAGTCCGTACGTATGGATTTCAGGATGATCATCCAGCTGTTCTCCAGCATGTTCTGTCTGTCTGTCCGTCCATCTATCTCGCAGATGGAAGCTGCAGCGGACCTGGGGTCACAACGAGCCACCTGACTTACCCAGCCCTGTGGGTCCCATCAGTCCATGAAATCCCTCCTGAGCTCTGGGAACCGGGAGGATCCTTTTTAGAGGGAAGGGGGATTGCAGCCCAACTCTGCCTTGGGCAAAGCTGAGGGCAGCAAGTGTCCTTCAGAGCCCCTTGCAGCTGTGGGGAGGCTGGGGTGATCTCTCAGGGTGCCAATTCATGAGCCAGGAGAAGCACTCCAGCCCATCCCCTCCATAGACAGCTCTGTCTCTGACAACCTTCCCCTGTGCTTCGCAGCCTGGACCAGTGTCCCTCTTCCACCCGCTGAAGGCCACTCTGGAGCAAACCCAGCCCACGACGTTCAGCAACGCAAAGGCATTCCTTCGCCAGAAAAGCTCGGCCTCGCTCAACAACGGGGGCGCGTTGTGAGTATCCCGTCGCCTCCCCTCCAAAGCTGTAGCCCAGAGAAGGTCGGTGTGTGCATCAGCCCCGACTCCCGGTGGTTCGCTTGCTCTGGGGGCAGGATGGCACAGCTGGTGACATCAAGACCAGCCACCCCTTCATGCCCTAACGGGGACAATTTCCCACCGGTGGCTACCGAAATGCCTCCGTGTGGCTCTGCTTCAGTTGTGGCTCTGCCTGTGGTGGTAGCCTGGGGTTCTCCAGAGCTACGTGTTGCCTTACAGGTCTCCTGAGAATCCTAATGGGAGAGTTTTCCATTGTGGCTAGTTGTAAGTCTGAGTTTGCCTGCAGGAATGTGGGATCATTGTAAACCCACCAAACAAACCCCAACCCACCAACCACTGCCACGGTGAGTTCTTGGGAGTCAAAAGGTCCTTGGGAACAAAGTCGTCTCTCAAGCTTATGGCACTTAGTAACAACAAGAGCTTCTGGAGGCTTTCCGGGACAGAACCTGGCTCTTCCTCTTTGGGCAAAATAACACCTCCGCAGAGAGCTTACGAAACAGTTATAGCAACAGGGATCCCTAATCACTTCTCCATTTCTAGCTCTTCTTCAGGTGACTTTCCTCTGGGTCACTATGAATTTTTAGTGACAGGCATCTGAAGTTGGAATGTCCCAAACAACTCCAATGGGAAAATCAACATCAGACTCAAAGCAAAACCCAGGGCCACCTGCACTGCTGTGCAGTCAGCGAATGAACGTTAGCTTGGCCGCAGATGTGTTTGACTAAGATCTAACTGCTCTTGCCCAAACTCCCAGATTCTTTATTCTTCTGCATCAGAACTTAAGCTGCAGAGGTTGTTTTCCTTAATTACTGAAAAAGTAAAAAAAAGTGTGATGGCTGGCTTGATTTCCTTGTTGCTCGTGGGATCTTCAGCCTGTATAGGAAGTGGCCCTGGCAAAACCCAGGGGACCTTGTAACTTCACCAGCAGCTGTGCCCATCCTGCAGCCAGTTTCAGAAGTGAAACCTCAAAGGGTATCTGAGTGGTTTACCCTCCTCACAATGAGGTCACCATATTCTCTTTGCAAAAGTGTTAATCTTTATTCATCTTTTCCTTTGGACAGGCCAGCCCCAGAGGGTGGGATCAAAGAGTCCAGTTCCTGGGGGACCCAACGCACCCAGGACGTGTTTTATGAAACCAGGGCACCAGCTTTTGAACGAGGCCACTCTGAAGAAATCCCCATCGAACGGGTGAGCAAACAGGGTGAAGATGTCGAGACGGGGTGAGATGCAGCAGCTTTTTAGAAATGCGATAGATTTTTGGAAATTTTAGAAAATGCTTAGAAAAAACAGACGAAGATAAGGTGAAATACAGTAGAGCTGTTCCTTGGAGACAGCACTGTAGATAGAGTAACCTGGGCACTCCACAGTCTTCATTTTCTCTCTTTGCCATGGGAGCATGTCTTCACAAGTAAATCAAACTTGGAAGCCTGCTCAGATGCTGGCTTCAAAGCCGATGTTGATGTTCTTGCTGCTGAAACCATTTCTTCTTTCAATCAGGTGGTAGAAATGAGGGAGATCAGCCCCACACTTGTCAACGGAGAGCACCAACCAGGTCTGGAGAGCCAGGGGCGGGCGGCTTCCATGCCACGCCTGGCTGCTGAGACTCAGGTGAGTGAGCGAGATTTCGGCGGCAGTGAGAGGCTTAGAGTAGGTCAAGGACTTGGGATCTTCTCTCTGCTTGCCACGGTGTTGGAAGTCTCTTGTGAATAGTTGTTTTAAAAGGTGCTTGCTGAACCTGGAGACAGGTAGCCAGCCTTTGTGCTTGTATGGCTGGTGTTCCTGTGTAGACACAGCACTGCCCTCAACTTTACTCATCTCTGGTTGTAGCAAAAAGTAACCCAGAGAAATCCCTCTAACTGATGACTACCTAACCCCAGAGTGTCTGTTCTGATTAACTGGGGACAACACTCTTTGCCAGCCTGTTTCCCAGTGATGGCTGCGTGCCACCCAGCCAGACAGCCAAGGCCCACTCCTGTGCCCTAGCCATGAGGCAAGCAGGACATGTGCTCTGGTTCTCTTCGATAAATGTCGTAGGTACAGAAAATACCAGGGAGCGTGTGCCTGGAAGGCCATACTGAGACACTGAGCATCCTCCCTGGTACTTTTTTTAACTCATTCCATGGTATTTAGCATACGCTGTGTTGTGAGTTTGGTCAGTAAACTGTTGTTGAGGATTCCCCTCGTTTAACTTCTTGCGAAGAAATCTCACCACTCGAGTTGGCTTTTGTGGCAACTTGGGGACGCTACTTAGTGCGCAGGACACCGTGGTTTTCACAGATTGTTTTGGGGCATTTCATGTGTTCATTGCTACCTTGTTGTCCCGGGTGCTCTCCAGCCACTGCCCTGCCTCCTCTGTGTCAAGAACATCTTGCTGCTCATAGTCGTGTCTCTCTCATGTAAAGGGCCTGATTCATACACTCGAGCAGCCCAGGAGTGTGGGCTCTTTCCATTGCTCTCCGTGGAAAGCAGAATGTGAAAGAGATGCTGCACCCTAAACCTAAAAGCCTGTGTATTGCATATACATCAATACCTCTAATAAATGCACTTTTTGTGCTAACATGCTCAGGCTGGCACAGTCTCCACTTGGCTGGCTAGCAAATTTCCCAGCTGACTCCAGAAACTTTCTGTGTGAGAGCTGGCATCCCCTGTGCTATCAGGAACACTGCTCAACACGCTCAATAAAAGAAACCGAGCCCAAAGCAAACCCACACTCCCTCCATTCCCCCCCTTTCCCCGAACAAAGTTGTCCTTTATTCTAGACCACGAGCAGCATCTCTCCTCCCAAGGCGATGCGGTTGCAGCAGCAATGCCAGCGAATGCCAGCCTGGCCGCGGGAAGCTGCTCTCCGCTGCGGTCAGGTATCTGCAGAAGCGAGTGTCTCTCGTGGTAGCCCGGTCCGTGTTCCCCGGGACGCAGCTGCCCCGCGCAGAAGCCGTCTGGTCTCGTTATGAATCAGGCTCCTAATATCTGAGCGGATCTAACCTCATTGAATAATACGATGTTTTGGTGGTTGTAGCTTGGGCTGAATAACTGATGTACTCTCTGTGTGTGTCTTCCCCCTCCATGCCCTCCACCCTCCCTCTCATGCGCTCTTCCTGCTCCCCTCCCAAACTTTGAGTTCTTTAAAACTCTTATTTGCAATGTTTTCTGTTTCTGGATGTCTCTCTTTCTGTTTGCCTGTCATTCCTCTATCTTTTTATGTTCTACTTTTTTTTTTTAAATAAATCTTTCTATGCTTTCAATCCTACCTCCTCCCTCCCTTTTTGCTGTCCCCTCCCATCACCTCCCCTCCCTTGTTGTCATCGTGTCTGCTGCACATCTGCCGTGATGTCTGACAATGGCTGTACTGTGGGGCTGCTTCAAATAATGTCTCTCATCTTGTCCGAATTGTTTGCAGAGGAGCAAAGCACGGTCACCTGGGAGTTACCTAGCAGTATGTAGTTTGCACTAAGTTGTATCCTATTAAATCCATGTTAAGAAATAATTAACCTTCCTTAACCCTTTACTTTTCTCCCTTCTCATTTGGAGTCCAATGTTGCGCCGACGCAGCTGCTCTCTCTTTCCACTTTGCTGCAGTTCCCTCGACCCACAATTGCACGCCGCACGCTGTAATAGCAGGGATTTTGTTTGTTTGTTTGTTTTGCTTATTTATTTGTTTTCGTAATGCCTTGTTGCGCAGGAATTGAGGAAGTGAAAGCGATCGGTCTGGTAATGAAGAAGCAATTAGTAATTCTCTGAAGGATTATGCTACAGTCTCCTGAGGCTTGCGGGGAGTCTGTGCATGCCCCGTTAACGTCATTGTCAGGATTTATGGAGAGGGTGTTCATTGCTCTGCCTCTTCCCATTAGTGTCAGCAGGAGCTTCTATCGCCAGGGTAAGCACAGAATCAGGTCCAAAGTTCAAAGAGAAATGCCCATTTCTTATCAACTTGGCTGGCTTTTTGTTAGGAAATTTCTGTTTTCTTCTTCCTGGCAACTCCCTTATGGATTTTGGAAATCTCTATAAGTGGTTTTAGTGAGAAGTGTTTTCACTTTTTTGCCCACCAGACCATCTGGTTTACAGACCTCTCTGCCTTCCCCCATCTTCAGGCTCAACACTAAGCAAGGAGGACAAATATGAAGCTATTTGGTATAAATTCTTGCCCATGCAGCAGGGGCCACAAGAGGAGACAGAAGCAGCTCAAAATGGTCCTGCTACCGGAGCTGGTGCAGCCCCCGGGCACGCACTGACACTGCGGGCGATGCCGGGCTCCTCCACCCTGGCAGTGTCTTCCTGGTGCCTCTGACAAACCTTCTAGCTCGGGCATTCTACTGGGAAGCACCAAAATTTGGGTAACTGCCTGGCAAGAGAGAGAGCACCCAACAAAGGGTCATCCCAGACTGCATTTCTGCACACAAGATAATCCACCCCTGACAGCCTGCAGGGGGGCAGAGCGGATCTTTCAGCTCCGAATAACGAGCAGAGCTGCAAAACAACCGGCTTTGCATTGTGTAAATACCACAGGGCAGCAGAGATCTGGATTTCAGGAGAAGCAAACAAAACCACGTAGACAGTAGAAACAATATGAGGCTCTTTGGAAAGGTTACAGTGAGCAAAGTAAATGTTCTGCGAGAACTGTCATTGGAGGTACATATTGGATTGTGGATTCAAACAAGTGTGAGAGCTGCAGGACGGGAGGACGTCCTGAGCTCCTCCCCCGTCTGGGTGGAACGCCATGCTCTGAGGTCTTTCCTCTGCCGCGCAGGTTGGATGCAGTGGTAGACCCAGGGAAGGCTCCAGAGGATGGGTGAAGTCCTGTCTCCACCACGAGCCAGCTGGAGGCCAGTGAAAGAGAAGGACACAGGGGAATTGTCTTTGTTTTCTGAGCTTTACCCCTGGGCAGTAGGGAAGGCAAAGGCTGTGAGAACAGCTGTCCCACAGGCCACTTGTCTTGGTTTCTGCAGAGCATCTTTGTCAGGTTTTGAACCTGAAGGGAAGGGAGCAGAGTCTGGAGTTGTCACTGGCACAGGGACAGGGTCTAGCAGAGCCCATGGGAAGCTGTGTTGTTCCATTCAGTGCCCAGATGTTTGGCCACAAATGGTGGGAAAACAGCAGTGGCAAACTCAAGACATTGATTTTGGAAACATTCTGGTAAAATTGCAGGGCTTATGTGCTACCCTGCTTGTTCCAGCCATAAGGTGGGACAAGAGAAGTTTAAGTGTTCGATGGGAGTTGTCTTCAGCTGCAGGGAGATAGAAGTAATTTCTCAGTGGCTTAGCCTGTACCTTGCCCCTTTATTCCTGATTTTTCTCCTTCTCCATATGATGCCCAAGCAACGCTTTCATGCTTTCCTCTTTGGAGCTTCTTTGGGATGACCCCATGCCCTGAAGCAGCTTTGGGTGAAACTAGTCTTGGAGAATTCTTTTTGTGAGACGCTTGGCTACTGTGCTGCCCTGTGCCCCTGCTAATCAACTGTCGACTCCTGTGATGCTGTGTTTGGTGTGAAGTGCTGCATTTTGCTCTGTGCCCGCGGTACCTGTGGATTGGCACTCTGCTAAAAGTAAAGCCCATTCCAGCAAGCGGAGATCACATTTGTTCCTCAAATTTAACCCTCAGTCTTACCATTCCACAAGTCCTTCTGCCCTTGCCAGTTATACACCCAATTAACTATTTTTCTCCTTCCCCTCCGTGCCCCTTTCTCTTACTGTACAACCCTCCCCACGCTGGGAACGAAGCAGCTGAGTGTGGGGCAGCACAGACCCTCACCCTGCTCCGTGCCTCCCCTCCCTCTGCCTTGCAGCCCATCCCGGACACGAGCCCCATGAAGCGTTCCGTCTCCACGCTGGCCCCCCAGCGCCCTCACGCCATGCACCTCTACGAGTACTCCTTGGAGCGCATGCCGCCGGAGCAAGGGCACCACCACCACCACCACCGCTGCCACCGGCGGAAAGAGAAGAAGCAGAAGTCCTTGGACAGGACCGCCCATCAGCTGGCCGATGGAGAAGCTGGTAAGCGCTTTGCAAACCAGGATTGGACCCTTGTCCTCCTCCCTTCAGGGTTACCTGATGTGATTTTGGGCTCCCTTCAGCACAGTAGGACCTTCCCCACGGTTGGGGATTTCTCGTGTGTTGGCAATCCCCAACCAAGGTTATTCTTTCAGTGGCCCAGTCTGGTGAGTCGTCTTCCAAGGACAAGAAGCAGGAACGCGGCCGGTCCCAAGAGAGGAAGCAGCACTCTTCCTCCTCCTCTGAAAAGCAGCGCTTCTACTCTTGCGACCGCTATGGCAGCCGCGACCGTTCTCAGCCCAAGTCTACCGACCAGAGCAGACCCACCTCACCCAACGGAGGCCCAGAGCAAGGTCCACACAGACAGGTGAGGAGATGCAGGGTGGGAAAAGAGCCCTAAGGTCTTCCAGGGATGTATGCACCTTTTTCTTGTTTTGCTTACAATAAAGGAGAAGGATTGGAGGAGGATCACCAGGCAGTAGGAGATGAAGTCGTTGAGGTCCTGCTTGGTCCTTCTCATGCAAAACAGGGATGGGGTTGTCACTTGATGGCTCTTTAGCAGCCACCTACAGAGTGAGTGACCCAAGGCATCTCACAGAGACCACACTGCTGAGGACACCCCGGCTCATGGTTTCAACCGAGCAGCTTGGGAGACCTGAGAACTGGCCCCTCGTGATGCTGGGGGAGAAAACGTATCTGAGCTGAGGCTGGCTGGCAGCGTGGCGTGGGACCTGGGCAACTGAGATGAACCGTTCCCCTGCCAGCCGTGTCCACCCGGCACCTCCCACCGCCCCGTGCGTGAACATTTGGTGGTTGCCAAAGAGATCGATGTATGAAAGTGCAGGGACTCCAGACAGCCAGAGCAGTGATTTCAGCAGGGTTTGCTCATATTAGCAGGATTTTCCCACTGCTGTTGCGTGGGCTTCAGATCTGCCCTGTACTGTGGAGCAGGTTAATTTTCTGAAAAATCGAGAGAAAATTCCCTAGTGTCCAATCAGTCTTTCAAATGTGCTTTCTAGCTGGGAGGAGAAATCACAGTAAGGGGGAGATGAAGGAGAAGGCAGGACCTGGGTGGGAGGGCAGAGAGCTCAGCCCCGGGTCAACACGATCCCTGCAAACGTGGCTCTCCGAGTAATGCACCTCTCCCTAAATTTGCAGCTTGGGAGGGGCTGAGCGATGCTGCCAGCCCTGAGCCCCTGCAGCAACATCAGCTCAGGGGGGAGCGGGAGGAAATCCTTCCTTCCACACAGGTTAGAGCTCAGGGGAAGGATTTAAATGACGAGGCTTCCTCGTGTCCCACTACCTGCAAAATGAAGCAGTTTTTTTTGTCCCCTCACCCTGTCCCATGCCTTTCAGTGTCCCTGCGTGGTCATCAGCAGCATCCAGGCTGTGGCATCAGGGCTGTGCATTATAGGGAGGGCTTTGGAGACACCCGGGGCATGAGACAGGCTTGGCACAGTCGTTCTCAGCTGGGAGGAGATGTGACGTTGTTGTAAGGTTTGATGTAAGGTTTGCTACGGCCACTGTGTGTGGCTATAGCCAGAGGGAGCTGCAGCCTCACAGCTTTTTCCCAGTTCTGCTTGCCACAGTCCCCGACTGGCCGTCGTCTGATCTTTCACATCAGGTTTTCATTCCATTTCTTCTTTTCTTCCTCTGGTTTGAGAGGCAGCAAGGTGGCACTGATTTGTGGCACGATGCCTCTCCTTTCTTGCATGCTCAGTTTACCAGAGCTTTAAACGTCACCTACGTTTTAATTAAAAACCTTCCCATGGTTCGGAGATGTTCAGCGTTAGGGCACCAACTGCCTTTAACAGACTTGTTCCTCCAGTTCCAGGGAAGTCCCTATTGTCCTGTGGGGGTTTAGCCAGGCAAGGAGGAAAAAGTCTGTTGGTTCAGTGTCCCTTTATTTTAGCCACTCACGTATTACCTCCTTTGAGCAGAGCTGCTAATATATCCCCTAGTTGCTCTGACCAAAAAAAAAATTGAAAAAAAAGCCAAGCCAGCATGTCCCTTCTGTTCCAATGAGCTGAAGACCCCTTGTCTTAATGAGATGTCTGCAAGAAGCTCTGTCAGTCCATTTCCCACTTTATTTTGGCTCAATAACAAGGTGCTTGTTAACTCTCAAGTATTTTCTTTCTGCCTGTCCCTCTCCTTGGGACTTGTAGCTTTTACCAGCAGCCCTGGCCCAGCACATTTCACCGAGTCCCTGGAGGCGCCTGCATAGACCAAAGAGAGACTGGCTTGAGCTTCACCCTGCCAACTCCATTCCAGCTAGAGTCAAGCCAAAAATCAGGAGAGGTTTGGTTCAAAGGGAAGTTCCTTGGTATGTTTTTTTGGTTTTTGGGAGACAAGAAAACCAAGCCACAAAAACTTCATTTTGGGTCAACTCACACTGCTTTCTTTGACCCACATGAAAGTGTTATGCAACTTCAGTGAATTATTTCAATGTTTCCTTTTCAATGCAGGTAAATGGTTAAATAGAAATCCCTTTTCATGATGAATCTGGGAAAAAGCATTTTTTAAAATTAACCGAAACGTCTCGGAATTTCAAAATGTTACAGCAGAACTGAGCATTTTGAAAAAAGACCTTACTTTTTTTTTTTTTAATCACAATCAAGGCCATTTCCTTAATTGGTCCTGGATAAAAGAACCTTGAAAATCTTGCAATAAAAAACATTTTCAGATGGCTCAATACTTATCAAAGCAATTTAGGTCTGCTTTCTTTTGTGGAGCGTTGTCATTTTGAGGTGGTCAGCTTCAGGCCCTTGGAAAAAGCTGGACATCATCTCCTGGACGTTGGCCATCGTAGGGCACTGGGTGGTGGTCACCATCTCATCCATCACCACGGGGATGCAGCTCACCTGGGGGACGGATACCTGGGATGGGAACACGTGTCTGTAGCCGGGGGTAAAGCTGAAATGTGGGGAAGCCAGAGAAGGGTTTTGCCTCTGCTTCTGAGGGACGTGGCACAACTCAGGGCAACAGTGGCCAAAATAACCTCTTCATCCAGCTGCTGGGCTGGTAGCCTCCAGCGCTGCCGGGCTCGCCCTGGAAACCGCGCTGGCAAAGCCAGAACAAGCGTTGATGACCTGATGTCTGTGTAGGAAGGAAAAGCTGCTCTTTAAAAATTAAACGTCTGGTCTCAAAACGTTAGGTCACAAAAGGCTGAGGGATTTTGAAAGTGCGCTCGCAGGGCTATTCATGTTCTACCCTGGGAGAATGAGAATAGGAAAGCCAAAACAAGGTCCTGTTCTTCTCACTCGTGGTATTTTTTTGACTTACTGTAGCTTATTTCACTCCCACGTGTCATTATTAGTCAGCCAGGAAACTGCCAGGCTCTTCTACCACTGCAAAAATGAAACGTGTGATATTAAGGAGAAGGCGAATGCATTTTTGTCTAAAGAGCTTGTTAGTTAAAGCCCACCCAAAAAATCTTGTTCTGGCTCTTTCATCAAAATCAAAATGCATTTAGCTCCCGAAACTACAAAAAAACAGTCTGCCCCCAAATCCTCCAGTTCTGACGGCAGAAACGATGCCCGACAGTAGCGTTCACAACCGCCGAGCAAAGTTCTGCAAAAAACCTGCCCCAAAGCCAAGAGGGCTGTTCTGTAAAATTGGGTTTGAAAACCCAACCAAACAAATAAACCAACCCAACAAACGGTAGGGGTTTGAGCTGCTCCCGCCTAGCTCAGGTAAGGTGCATGTCGAGCCCGTGTCTGCTGTGGATGCCTTCCCCCCGGACAGTGTCCCCTCCTGTTGGAGCCGTCTGCCCGTTTGCGTCCCACTGATGCTCTGGTCGTTTCTGTTCTTATTTACCGCTCGCAGAACTTTAGCTCACCAGCTCTCTACATCTCGTGTTGAATTAGTTCTCGAGAACCTCCTTCCCCCCTAACTGTGCCTGTCTAAACTCTCTCTTTTTTTGCTTTTCTTTCCTCTTGTGACTTGTCTCTCCCTTCCGTTGTTGCTTCTCCTTCTGTTTTGTACCTGCCTGCTTTTGTGTTCGTCTGGTGTTTCCCTTTTTTATTTTTTGATTTGCTTTGTTCCAATTTTTATGTAGGGCAGTGGTTCAGTTAATGGGAGCCCCTTGCTGTCGACATCTGGTGCTATTTTTGCCGGGGTCGGAGGCAGCTCCCACAGACTCCACTGACCCCCCGTCCCAGCATCACTTACAAGACCGCTAACTCCTCGCCCGTGCACTTCACCAGTTTCCAAACCGGCTTGCCCACTTTCTCGCCGGGACGCCTGAGCCGCGGGCTGTCGGAGCACA